GAGCCTCTCGCCTGTCGCACCACCAATGCCAGATGTTCTCTAAGAGTCCGGGTATCGGTCTCCAAAGACAACCCAAGAATCTCTTTGACCGCCTCTAACTCCCTGCTAAGTTCCCCTATCTCTATTTTGTTAGATTCCGTATTACCCAGTACCTGAGGCACGGTTCTCGGGGGGTTAGGAAGCTCCACAGTTGTAGTAGCGGGCGGTAAATATGCCGGTGCAGCAGCCCCAGCTGTAGACAGCCTATCATCGCTGTACCGACGGGCATTCCGCTGCTTCCAAAACGACGAGAATCGTTGCCGTAATTCCGCAGAAGTACCAGTGGTCACCAAACCATACTGGTCCATCGTTCTCATGAGCTCCCCTTTCGAGAGGTCATAGATCCAACCCACGCGACTGTCCCGGGGCTGCGACCCCAAGGACATAGTCGCTGGCGCGGAATAGGTCAACGAAGTTGTCACCGTCGTAGCCACTACTGAAGAAATTGTCGGCCAAACGGGCGAAGACGCCGGCCACAATAACGATGTCGTCATCACCGACAGTTCGGAGCTAACCCCAGAACTCGTCGTAGCAATAGCAGACGTAATAGGCGTACCGCCCAGCACAGACGTCGTACTCGTAGTCACAACCATATTTAAAATTCAAAACACCACGTCAAATCCGCAAAAATAAGGGCGTAACCAATTAAAATATATTTAACACCGTTATAATAAATCAAACCAATTATAGGTGTGAAAGTCAAACCACAAATACACAATAAGGGTTCTCACTCAAATAATATTCAATGATAAAATTCAATTAATTAGCAAAATTAAAATTACTAACTAATATCTATGTATACAACCACTAAATAAATTAGGGTTCACAACACACCACGCTGTAACAGAAAACAGGTTAGGCCTACCCAACCGACTATAAAATCACAGCAGGTCTGCCTAAAACTCTGCTCAACAGCTCAGGTCCGCAGCCAATCTGCACAAGTCCGCAGCAAATCTGCACAAATAAAATTATTTTGTTCGGGCGCCGTTAATACGTCAGCAACTCAGCACCACTGCCAACCTCAGTCCCTGTTCGCAGGCGCCATCTTGCGACGATGTTCTCTGCACTGAAAAAAAAAATATTAAAAGTGCAGCAGTCGCAAACGTTTGCCGGGGATAGCTCAGCCTACGATGGCTGGGTAAAGTTCCAGGGTCTGCGATAAGGTCAGGGAAACCACTAGGCCAATAGCCGGGTCTAACCGGTATAGGACTGGCTCATACACGGGCACTGTGAACAAGTCAAAAACAAGTCACCAAAACAAACGTGCAATAATCACTACCAGGCCTACGCCGATTCTCCACTCTCCTAGGGGGTCGTTGCTGACTACGCAACTCGGGCTTCGTCCTAACTATCCAATAGTTAAGCCCAGAGTGCCTAAAACACGGTGAGTTACACGACGACTTGCCAATAAAAACCACAACGCGTGTTATCACCAGGCGGGGTCTACTAGGCCACTATAATCCAATACACAACTCTAATGCCCAAGCTAAGAATCAACAGTTCACTTTAATAATCGTACCACATAATAATATACAAGTACACTACAGGTAGAGTGACTACACCACTAGTAGCTGGTCTCAATAAATACCAAGCCAAACAAGCAAAACTAAATGGCAATTGCACTATTAAAATATTGAGCTACTTAGTAGCAGATAAATAAATATTAACTACGTTCCAAACACTAGATAAATATATTATCTGATAGCCGGTACTCCGCTATCCAAGCTACCAAGCTAACGTGTTGGATTAAGCAAGCTGTTCAGGTTAAATTAAACTAATTAAATGATTAATCAATACTAACCCTACTGCTACTACCACTACTGCTACTATATCAACGTTATATTGCTTAGCCGGGCTTCTGTTAATAGGCTAATAAAACTAGCTACTAGCCTACTGGCCTCGTGCTTCCAACTACGCACGCTAAATCGTGCAGCCTAGGTTTGTCGGGCCTCAGAGTTATTAGTAATATAACTAACTCTAGGTACAACGCAAAATAATATCTACTACAGTCAATTAAATTATATTATTTGCGCTCTAGCACCTGCCCAGAACCGTCAGGAATACATTTAAATATTATTCCTGACTAATATAAATCCTAACTACCGTCAGGCTTTGACCAGCACGGTTACAACTCTAACTCTCGCAATAAAGTGTAAGATTAATATTAAATCAAATCTTAAACCAAAGTGTAAGGAACGTCGTCCACTCACCAACAGTGGGTCTGTACCGTCTGTACCCAACTTACACCAACACTCGGCGCGATCACACCACGTACACTCTGTACCTCCAACGTACGCCGGCCGTTTACACAGGAAACCAACACTGCCTTCTTCACTGTCCGGGATCCACCACTAGAATGTCCGTCCTATACTGTCCTGAAGATCTAGGATATCCCAGGCTTATCGGCACTGATAAGCCGGGTCAAAGGGCGCTCGCTAGCCTCGCTGCCGCCGCTCGCTCACCTCAACAATCGGTGCGCGGCCAAATAGCAAAAATATACCCCCCTAGGGAAAATAACTCGTTACAGCCTACATAACTTCATTACCCCAAGTAAAATACCAAGATAAGTTTTAAAAGTTAAAAAGTTATAAGTTTGTTAAAAATGGATTTTAAATTCAACAATTATGGCAGTCTATTATTGTTATGCAGTATGGTCCCAAGTTATTGTTTTTGATTTTGAAACATCACAGTTCATTTGAAAAAATTAAAGTTGAAGCAGCCCAAGGTCAACAAGTCGCGCATGCAACAATAGTTTTTTAAAAGCTTTCTCCAGACCACTGGGGAGGGTCGGGTCTGATAAGCCGTCTATTGTTCACTTCAACCCTCATTAGTGCGGCTCGGCTGCACTCAGTGGGGAACCCAATACCACAAATCAATCTTTTAAATGAATAAACATATTTGGTAATAATTGTTTTATTGATATTCACCTTGAAATTCCAATAAATTTGGTGTAAAATTTGACAAAAAACCGGCCAATTTATTAATACATTACCAATCAAGTACATTGAAAATTAAATAATAGGTAAAAATTAACCGATTTTCGTCAAGTTGTACCCCCTGCTGTGCTATGTCACAAAAGCTGATAACGACATGGGCAACTAGGCAACTTGTTGAATGCGTGATGAAGGGAAACCCAAGAAATAGAAGAACAAAGAGAAAGTATAATGACGTTGTTATCTTTATTCCCTTTTTACAATTGCTGTTATTGTTATTATCTTTATGTAAGATTTTATGATTTTGTTTTATAGGTTTATAAAATAATTCTTTTTAACCACGGGAATATTAATTTATAATTTATCAACGTGTTTCTCCTGAAACAGCAATACTGGATGCATAATAAAGGTCAATGACCTAAAATATCTTGATTGTGCAATATTGTATTTTGATGTTGAAATTCAAATCATGACAAAAGTTTGTATATTTCCCCTGGTCCCTATAATTTAATCATTTAATATACACAATCAATACTAAATAATCGTGGTTAGTTCTAATTTTATTTTTGATTATTCAAAGTTTCTACACAATAAGACAATCCAAAGTCAAACCGGGCAATGAATACTCGAAAAACAACGTATCTTGTCCTGTGATTGGAATACCACTCGCCAGTCCTTTAGATTTAGGGATGAGTCTGCTACCCGTTACCCGGGCTCCTTTCGAGGTCATTGCCCAACCCCTCCCACCCTTCTATTGTGTTGCCTTTCTATTGTTTCTATTCTGACTTTTTTCGGGAAACATTAAATCTATTGTTTACGTAACAGCACATAAGTAGGCTAGATTTTTATGATTTAAAACAGTACCTACTGTAAAAAAAACTATTCCGCATAGCGCCCCTAGTATATTAACAACCACGAACCACGTTTAGTATATTGACAAGCACGAGTTGACCATGGAAGTTCTTTTCTGCTTTATGTATGTTCGTTCCAGACGAATCTAATCGTAAAGCAAAACAGCTGATAACGTTCCAGACGAATCTAATCATAAAGCAAAACAGCTGATAAAGACTAAACTAGACATCGGTATTGCATCATACGGCTTCTTTGTCCTTTGCTGTTACGTCGTCGTCGTTGGAAACGTATTGCTGTAATTTTGTCCAGGGAAACTAATGGTGGTTATGAAGATTTAGTTTTCTGTCCAAAACGTCAAAATATGTTGTCTATCCGAAAAAGTCGGATATATAACGGATAGTATCGGATATCAAATTTAGGCTCGGTTCGGCCGAACCGAACCGAATCCGACCCGATTTTTTGGATAACCGCACACCTCTAGTATGAAGTATCATTTTTGTTTGGATAGAAATGTATAATTTATTTATAACATAAATATAGTTTATTTATTCCCCAAACACACACAACTATAGTGACTACTAGCAGAATATTACTATAGCATAGATAAATAAGGTACAGAGGACAAATTTAATGGTGCTTTTAAGTGGTGTTTAGCACTAGTCGCTGCTGTCTAGGACAAAGTCGAATATTGCCCCTCCCGCCCTAATGTACTATAACGCTCACAGTGCTCTTCCTCGCTCATAACAAGTATGTTTCCCTTAGCGTGTACATACACGCACGCATACTAGAGGTAAAAGTGCACGGTCGTCCCATAAGCAAGTTTCCTCTATACCTTATATATCTGTTATAAGTTCGTCTTGGGGTAACTTCAAGCTGACCACGATCCGATCTCGCCGACTGCTTCTTAAAATACAAGCCTGAACTAATGAAAACATTAGGGAAGTTGATCCCCCAACTTCACACATTTCAATGAATGCAGTTATTATTCCGATTTTGATATACATTCTAATTTATCTACTACCAATATTTGTGGAATTTGTTCATAATCTCAGCAAGTTTTGTACATGACTCAAATGGCTTAGATAAATATTTTTAATTTTGTCCACTTTTTGCTTATTTCTGATTCTTTTTTAGTGGAAATAAAAATCTAAGAAGTTTAACTCAATAATGTTTTAGGAGGTTAACCAGGCGGTGATGCGGGAGTATCTTCAGAGGGTGTACTCAAGTATACTCGGCAACACTGAGCTACAGGCTTTGGGAGAAGGAGTACCACAACTGTTGGTACAACAAGCACAGAGTGTTGTGCTCATGTACAGGTTAGTAAGTGGTTCTGATACAGTATCAAAGAAAATAGGGGCAGGTTTAGAGGAGGTTATAGTAGCACCCCTATTCATTTAGAGTGAGCAGAGGTTTTGTTGAAATCACAACTTCTTCATTTTTTTACATACATCATGCTTTATGTCAATAAATGACAGAAGTAACTTCTAAAGTTACTAACCTGTAGCAAAACTCTTTTGGATCCATCAAATGTCTGATATTTCAGTGTACCCTCAATGGAATAATTACATTTGTATACTACCAAAGCCAAGTCATGAAGCAATTAAACCTTCATTTACAAAAACACTTTCCAAACCTACTAATGATTTATGTTAACCCCTTAATAATTTAATTTCTTCATTGTTACACTTGCAGAGCTGTGGAGAATGTTCAGTGTAAGCTGCGCAAGACGAAGGAAACGTTGACCCAGAGTCTACAATACACTCATCCCATCCTGAGTAGGATTGGTCCTTGGATGAGAGACAAGCTGAGGAGTGCTGAGGTGAGAGACAAGTCAAATAATAATCTTGTAACATTTTATCTTACTTACTTACTCTTAATCCCATGGATACCCTGGGTGGTATTTAGCCTCGCCAACAAGTTGTTTCCCTGTTTTCCAAATCTTCTTGCCTCACTCTCAATTTTTGCATATCTTTCAGCCGTTCTTTGGTCTTCCTCGAGAAACTTCTTCCCGCTGGATTTTGCCTCCAAACTTCTTTAAATAGTTTACCTACTGAAGATAATTTGAAATGAAAATAAGTTAATATGTATCTTAACACTGTTCTCTAGGTGGGTGACAATTTGTCAAAACAGTGTAGAATTTGTTCTGAATTTTCTCTGCCATTTGCGCCACTACTACTGGTGTATTAATGTGATAAAATGTCATTCATTAAGTTCAATACCACAAATGTACTACATTTTTCATTCATATAGGCCAGTGAATCACATATGTGATGGCCAGTTTCTACCAATAGACTAGTCATATTACTAGGGTTGCTTTCAGAGAGGTGAAAGCCAGTTGAGCGGAACAAACGTGATTTGATATTTGTATAAGTAACTAAATGTAAAAAGGTCAATAGATTTATTTACTAATGCTGGTTTTAAAGATTAAAATTATAATAACTCAAATTTACCTCTTCGAGAAGTGCATTATGGTAGTTTTGACCAGGAAAATATTACAGTAGTTGGAATCTGATATTAACATCCAAAAAGTAAAGTATAAAAATGAGAAAGGTAATTTAACATTCAAATGCAACGGCTACATTTTTCACCCTTACAATCGGTTAAAGTATTTAAGTATAAAAAAAACAGTAACTATAAAAAAACGAGTATTAAAGTATAACAACAGGAGGGGAAATTTGACATTTAAATTCAACCGTGCAACATAAAATGGCTGGAATGTAGGCCTAAACATAAGTAGACTAAACTTATGTTTAATTAAAATGGAATTTAATTAAACATAAGTTATAAGTAAAATCGCATTCAGCTGATTTAAGTGAAAATAGAATAATATAATAAGTAGGGAAGACATGCCTTAAATATACAATGTAGATAATATAATTAGAAATTAGTAGCCTACTTCTGGACAGGCCTAGACAATTATCCATACCGTGGTTAAAAGTGTACTTCTATAAGCCCAGGTTTACTTATCAACGGTTGTAACTGGACGTATGTATAGTCCGTGGCTTGGCAATCAAATAACAGTATTTGTATAGGATGGGCTACTGTTATCAACATTTGAAATAACTGAATTGTTACCAAATTACTGTTTCACAAAATGCAGATTCCATTTTCAGCCGAGCCATTAAAATGAGGATTTGCCGAACAATTATTAATATTACAGAATAGTATATAATGATATACAACTTTTCACATTCCATAATTATATGTTAGTTTTGCTATGGTCAAAGGTACAAATCCAAATGTTCTCTTTTCTTTTTGTCAGTATGTAATAATTTGCTAGAATCATTGACTTTATATAAAGTCAAAGCTAGAATACTGTAGATGGTTTGTTAAGTTAAGACCATATGCAAGCATTTTTGAAATCATCCCCGTTTAACCTTAACCAACTATTCCATTCCAAAAGTTAAAAAATTATATGGTGCAACACAAATAAACAACCCGATCGCCTACCTATAACCTACACTATACCTTCCTAATCTAACCTTACTTCAAAACACTTAATGTAGTCACGAATACTCATAAACCCCGACCTACCTCCCCACATGCCTAAATCAGTGTTCAATCTGCGTTTTATCAATAAGTGTAATAACTTACTGTACCGTCGATGTAATTAAACATAATATAACCTATGAGGTATTATCGGATTAGATACCGATTTCAATGCGGTTCGATATATCGCTTATTAAATCCTGATTTCTAACATTGGCTGTTTCTAATCAGCTGGCAACACAAATAGGTTCCCAAGAAAGTAGTCACCGGTCCGTATCCCTCCGCTCCTTGTTTATGCTCCGCGCATTGAGAAAGTAGTTCAGTATATTTTCTCGATTTTCAGTGAATTCCGTGCCTTAAAAAAATGTTTTAACGGCATGGTTTTCTTGTTTATTAAAATCATAGGAATGGTTTAAAATCGTTTAAAAGAAAAGTATAGAAAGTTCAGAAATACCTTATGATTCTCTTGTTTACATTTTTCTTGTAAACAAAAAAACTGTCATAGCTACTTTAGTCCCATAAGCCCAATGTTAAAAATTTTAAATTTTAAGTTCGTTTTAAATTGCATTAGCATTATCTAATTGAAATTTGTTTGTTTACAAACCATCTCATTATTAGTCTAAGTAGTCTTGTTAAGTTTGGCTGAAATGTGTTCAGCCGTTATTGAGTGATGGTGTTATATTGTTTGCATTGAAGTTGATCCCAAAGAGCTTCGCTCGCTTCGCTCGCTCCGCTCAAAAATAGAATGATATCGCATATTTTGTCGGTGTCCCAATGTTATTAAAAAGCTTATATCTTTGCAACAGTCTATTTGAAGGCCCTGAATTCTCTGCAGTGGTCTACAGGGATGTCTGTCGCATATGTGTGTCACTTGGTCTGAGGATATGATTATTAGTGATGTCATATTATGATTGTTGGCAAAAGTGTTTTTTACTTTGCTGCATCACTGGCCCTTGGTCTGCGAGTACTGTTGACCAAGTGACACCTGGTCTATGTGTAATATTAAAATGTATACCTCGGTCCGTGGCAATGACCGAAACATCGCATATATGCGGCGATCGGTAGTGAACGTGTTAAGGCTAATTAAATAAGTTTTAAAGTTGGTTTTTAAGTTGGTTTTAAGTTGGTGAGTCGGTGGCTCAGTCGGTAGCGTCGCGGACTTCGGGCCCAAGGCAGCAGTGTCGTGGGTTCGGATCCTGGTCACTGCCACTAACTTTTATCAGTACAGTTCACCTTTGTACTGTACCGGCTCACCCCTTGCTTTGCTGGATACGTTCCAGGCACAGATCTGTAGTCTATGTGGGCGGGCAAATGCAAGGTTAAAAGAGGCCACCAACCTCTTTAAAAAAAAAAAAAAAAAAAAAAAAAAAGCATTTTGGCCGAGAGGGGGGAATATGTCAGTTTCTAATACACTATGTATTGGTATGGTACAGTTACCATTAATTCATAATCTTTTCCAGCAAAATATCTTTACTCTATACAACCACTCCTTAATTCAACTGAATTTATTTGAAGGATTGCTCAAGAAGTTGAACTCAGTAATATTTGTTAAGTATCATTTTAATTTTATTATTTTTCCTAAGTAATATTTTGCATGTATTAATCTAATATTTTGTTTATTCTTTCACAGGAGAAATTTATAGAGGAGTGCAAGTGGAGCGCACATGAAGAGGCTTTGATGTTGTGCAACAACCAGCATCTGCAGCAAGCCGTGTACTTTCTGCACAGAGACCTTACGTTCATGAAGGAGGTATGTGACTAGTGTGGCCGAGGCAGTGTTAAGTATGTAAAGTCCTGTGTTATAAGTTTGTTTTAGGTGATGTTTTAGGTTTATGTTATTTGAGAAATTACTGCTGACATTTTCCATTACGATTATTTAGAAACAAGTTTTCACGAAACTTCAATATCTGGAATTGATCTTGTTTTCAGTTGAGAAAGTAACTAAAACATTACAAGATTAATACAAAACTGAAAAATATCAGAGGAATAGCTCACAGAAAACTGTATTAGTTCTCAAGCCGTGACAATTGGAGCATTCTCGCGCTGCCCGTTTTTTCACAATTTCAACTTAAGATGAGCGCTGCCATAAAAAATCCCGCCAGTTAAGGGGTGCGGTCAGTGATACGGTTTTTGTTGGAAAATACTTAAATCCGAAATTTCTCCTCGAGTTTTACGGACTTTGTGGTTTGAAATTGTCCCACAACAAAGCGAAAGACCCGTTATCGGGAATCGGGGGGTTTTGAGAACCTTTTCATCAACTTAACTTTAGCGATCAGTTCCATCAGTTACAATGCTCAGGCGTCCGCCCTTTGCTTCGTCATGACTCATGAGCATCAGATCGGCCATTTTTTTATCTGAAAGCACCATTTTCTCAGAAATTTTAATCATTAAGTTTTTTTCCTTAAACTTCATACACTTGGCGATAAATGTCTATGGATTTTAAGTTTACAGCCAACACAAACTGTATCACTGACTGCACCTCTTAACTGGCGGTATTTTTAATCGCAGCGCTCATCTTAAGTTAAAATTGTGGAAAAACGGGCAGCACGAGAATGCTCCAATTGTCACGGCTGGACGCCGACTGAGTTGCCGAGTGCGCACGCACCAAAATGTACGAGATCGGCGCGCGCCTAGCGGCGTCATAACAAAACGTTCTTTACTTTCTGGATAGCCTGAGTACAACAAATTAATTGTATACAATGTTCTCATTTTTCAAGATTGATCAAAATAAACTTTAGGCAGATTTAAATATAACTGTATTCATTTTCTATTATCCTTATCCATTTTCATCATCACTTAATCCATTTTTCAGCAGGTAATTTGATCCAACTATCCTTATCTATTTCATAATTGCTGAAACCTTCATAAACGTAATCTCTCGTTCACTTTCTAGAGAGAACCAGTTCTGCTCAAGGAGCTGCGTAAGGTAAAGACCCCCACACGGGTGTTTCAATGGCGCACCCAGATTTGGTTCCCCCGCAACTGGGTGGTGCGTCGTTGTTTCCAAGGCACCAGTGAGGTAGTTCCCACAGTGCTTAGCGGGACTGCCACCAGCATAACAACACCCCGTAGCGATCCTAGTCAGGTAAGGATAAGTGGATTGAAGAATCTATATTGGATTTTTTTACCCAGCCTAAATGTCAAAAGGTTGGTTAGTCGTGGCTCAGTCGGTACACTGAAAAGTAATGTCCAGAAGAAACTTGTATGGTACACTTAACAGGTGTCTAGCACAAGTTGCTAGTATCTAGGGAAAATGCAACACCGCCGACCTTATCGTTATTTAATTTAACGCTCATAATGGAGGAAGACCCTCTGCCCTGTGCGATAGGAATTTCCACATAGTCTCACCGCCTGGGCTCTTCCTTTTTCGTCACAAGTATATTTTTGACACAAAATACTAGAGCTGAAAGCACACGGTCGTTCCATAAGCAAGTTTCCTCTACTACGTGTTACCTTACTTCTACGTGGTCAGCAGAAGTCTACTGATTCGTAGTAGCAATATCGTAGGTTCACGTCCTGGTGCTGTCTTTAATAATTTATCAGTTCAGTTCTTCCTTGTAAATGCCATACTTGCTTTGCTAGACACATTCAAGGACCAGCCAGTAGCCTATGTGGATTGGAAAATTCAAAGTTAAATTATAATATTTAAGGGTCGCCGGATTTCTACCCCCGGATATTTACCCCCATGAAAAAACGCCTACGTCACTTTGACGTCACATGTATGGGGGTAAATTTCCGGCCGCGAACTTTTAGGATGGATAAATTATTATTTATTCAATCAACTCACATTTCACGGTTTACTTAACAGTTGTAATTAATCAAAATGCTAATAAACCTGACACCGGAACTTTACCCCCGGAAATCTACCCCCAGACATCTACCCCCGGACATCTACCCCCAGACATGTACCCCCGGACATCTACCCCCGGAAATCTACCCCCAGACATCTACCCCCGGACATCTACCCCCAGACATGTACCCCCGGACATCTACCCCCGGATATCTACCCCCAGACATCTACCCCCAGACATCTACCCCCGGAAATCTACCCCCAGAAATGTACCCCCAGTGGTCAAATCATAAATGTATGACCCCGGAATTCTACCCCCGGAAATCTACCCCCCGTGCTACACTACGTATCGGCCAATATGCATTGATGTAGTTGATTTTAGTAATTGGTTTATAAAAATAATCAATGGCCCTTCGTTTAATAATTACCCTCTAATATCTAGTATTAAGCATGTGATATGTCGTTGTCTTGTTTAATGTCATCTATCTTCCCAATTCATTAAGCTGTAACTGATTTAGGTTTAATTTTTAAGCTTAAAATTCAGTGCAACGCAAATGGTAATTAAAAGGATATTTTGATAAAGGGCTTCAAAAGTTTAACCCATAAGCATTTAATTTATTTTCAGACAGTGATTTAAATGGTTGACCAATTTTCACATACACTCATAACTAACGGCACATGTACGAGCGCAGATCGTGAAATTTAAAACATATCACTGAAGGAGGTTATTTTCTGATTACTAGTGGTAAAAAATGCAATTAAATGTTGATAAAAAGCCTGCCACAGGTTGATTAATGAATTAATAATTTTTCACTATCAATTACCTTCTAGTAATACGAAATAGCATAATCCCTATGTCGTAGACACCATCCGGAGTTCCGGAGTTTGGATATAGACTTTTTGGTCCATTTGGCCAAAAAGTCTAGTTGCTTACACAAATAATTAATCGTAAAAAATAAAACATAAACATATTTTATGATTGGTTCTGGTTGTCAATGCTGGTTGTGAAATAACGGAGAATAATGTAAAAGAATAAAATTGGATATTTCGGGATAGGGAAGGTATTTTTACCTCATGGTTCTTTTGGGTTTACGAATTTATGTAAATGAAATAAGAGTTTAGTACGAACATTGCTCAAAATTATATATTTTTTGGTCATTTTTACATTTCACACATTAAAGAAGCCAAAACAAGTCTTTATCTCAATTTCTGCTTTGTCTGTCAAGGCCCAGAAGGCATTTTACGTGGCCTTCTCCTCAAAAACTAGAGCATCGATCGTGATTCGATTTAAATAGTCTTTTTGGATTCGGTGGATTGACACGAGTCTCTTAAGCCATTAAAATATGGCCTCACTACTTTTGAATTAAAATAAATTTTGTTCAAACTCCCAATTTTTTGCATTTTTGTCTAGTTTAGTCCTAATGTTTACCAGTAATTTATGAAATACTAATAATTTGTTTGGAGAATACGACATCTATGAAATAACGAACAGCTGTGAAAGATGAAAAGTTGAAAAATTAAAAATGGTGGATATTCAATCAAAAAGATAGTTTTTAACGCTTTTCGCGAATTTCCCTATAGGGAAGTAGCTATTACCGTAGGTGGCACGGTAAGACCTAGACCCGGGACCGATTTTCTTTTTCATTTTGATGTCCCCAGAGGCCAAAAACACTATTCGTTCAATTTTTTATATATGTATATATATATATATATATATATACGTCCGTGAACGCGATAACTTGAGTAATTTTTTGTCCGATTTTGATGAAATTTGGTTTAAAGGTGTAAAGCGGGATAAACTTGAATGAGTTCGCGAACCAGCACAATTGGACCATGGGAACGGGGCTTTACGGGGGGTTTTATGGGGTAAAAATTGGTTTTTCTCACTTTTGACCCTCAAAACACAAAATTTCCCAATTTCTCTTTAGACCTTTTTAAAGAGCTTAAAAAAACAAATAATTTGGTATATAAAAGTATTTTTGTTCGATTATTAGTAACGGAGAAAATTAAAAATATTGTAAATTTAAAATTCCCATGTTATTCTTATGGAGAATATTGTCAAATGTTGTAGTTTGCTTGTTTATGAATATATTTTGATCAAACTTGGCAAATTTATTTATTTTGTACTAAGTTACAAATATTTTACACAAAAACACACTTTATTAGTTTCCTTGTAGCAGCAAACCTAGGTACTCGTTAAACCTAATGTTATTAAAATATATTTAACTGAAAATCAATTCAGACAAATGGAAATTCGCTTAGTCGGCAGGTTTGCTGCGGCGGGGGTATTTTAACGTTAATTTTGCTCTGCGCAAGATCTTAAGCTTTAAAATGACACCTCAATCGTAACAATCGGCGAAGTAGGTCGGGTGAAAAAGGACTGCTACAGCTTATTGAATTAGGAAGATAGATAATGTTAAACAACAATAACATATCGAATGCTTTATACTGGATATTACAAGACAATGATTAACCGAAGAGCCGTTGATTTCCGAGGATAGAATTCCGGGGTCAGATATTTATGATTTAACCACTGGGGGTAGATGTCCGGGGGTAGATGTCTGGGGGTAGATGTCCGGGGGTAGATGTCTGGGGGTAGATGTCTGGGGGTAGATGTCTGGGGGTAGATGTCTGGGGGTAGATGTCCGGGGGTTGATTTCCGGGGTAGATATCCGGGGGTAGATGTCCGGGGGTAGATATCCGGGGGTAAATGTCTGGGGGTAGATATCCGGGGGTAAATGTCCGGGGGTAGATTTCTGGGGGTAGATGTCCGGGGGTAGATTTCCGTGCTATGGCAAATCACTTTATAATCAAACAATTACATGTTGATTATTCAATAATATATTGGGGGTAAATTTCCAGTAGCGGGCAGTTTCTCGACCGTGTATAGGCCCCGCCCCTCGTGACGTCAAAATGACGTAGGCGTTTTTTCATGGGGGTAAATATCCGGGGGTAGAAATCCGCTACCCCATATTTAACCTTGATTAATGTTTAAAAACCAACCTCTTTTATATAAAAATTAGGGATGGTCAAGTCTCGAAATTTCGGGAAATTTTCGGGAAATTTTAAATCTCGTTACACGAGACGAGATTTCTTTTTGGCCGAGATTTTTACCGAGACGGGAATAAAAAAAAAAAAAAAAAAATTAAAAATGCCTGCAGAAAGTCAATGCAATACCCGCAATACAGGAGCGTGTTGTAGTTGCGTTTCCTTTGTGAAGGCGTTCTTATTTAATTAATTCTTTAAATGTAAATATTACTTTAATTATTTTAATAATATTACTTTAATAACATTTGAGAAGTTTTGTAAAGTGTAAGCAGTGTGAGAAATGTTTTATTACTATAAAAAGTCAAAACAAGTAACTATTTTATAAAAATTAATATTGCTTTTATTTTATGATTTATTTTATTTTAGGATAAGTTGAACTCTATCCTAACTGATATCACTATGTTTCCTAATCGTAGGCATTTTTAATAAGTTAGGCGTGATTAATAAAAAAATGTTATGCTGATGTTTTTTAATAAAAGATTGTAAATATTCTTGCCTATTATCATTATTTTTGTATTTAAACAGTCATCTAACAATGTTACAAAATCAGGTAAAAATTTTGAACGTGCATTTCCCGTTGTGTATGAGAAGGGAAATCCCGTCTCGATCTCGTCTCGAAATTTTATGAGAAATAAAAAATCTCGTCTCGTCTCGTCTCGAACTAAAAATCCAATCTCGTCCATCCCTAATAAAAATTACTAGGCTATTACCAACTAAATTTGTCTCATGGTTATTTAAAACCAAGTAGATTTTTGGCCTTGCAAACATATTTCCACAGCAACACTGCCTTTTGACTTTTGTTTAAACTCATTCTGGGTCTTCCTAGAGGTAAAACTTTGTTTTTTCCTTTTACGCCTAATCATCATTGTGTTTTTACCAGTTGTGCCAATGAAGTGGTAATGTTTTGGTTTTTTGCAGCCAGTGTTCCTGGTAGAGAAGGAGATGGTCCGTACAACCACCACCAGATGGCCCATGTGGAGGTGGATCAACTACTGCCATCGTACTTGGAGCTTCTCCTGGAATGCCATGTTCTTCTTTGGGGTGAGAAAACGTGGAATCTTTTATTTATTGTTTAAAACAGTGGAAAAAGGAATCTTCCTGTCTTCTGCTGTTTCACCATATTTCCAATCATCTAGTAAAGATAATAATGCTAGAATACAGCAATACGATTTTTTTAAATTATGATTTCATCACTGTTACTCAGCTATTACATTTTAATCGGCTGGTATTCCTAACTCCTGAACGTACAATTTACAAGTTACTAAAGCATTTGAAGGAAAGCCATTTTGCTGGTTACAGAGTTTTTGGGAAAATAGGTACAATGGTAATACTTTGTAAGTTGGTAACAAACATATGAAAAAAATAAGTAAATTGGGTAATGGGCCAATCCCAAGACTGTTTGATTCTGATATAGAATCCTTTCATAAAATATTTACTTCAATTCTTAATGTTGAAAATAATTACAGTTCCAGACCAAATTTAGATACACCGTACATTTAAAAAAGTAGAGTACAATGCCAACCATTTGGGAATTTTTTATTTTTGTTTTTCAGGACAGGATTCTGTGGTCAAAAATTGACAATGTCACTGTGATCAGGTGAATATTTTCACAACAGTTTACATAACAGTAACAGAAAGGGATGAACTTTTTATCCGTGGTACAACCTTGTAGCTATAGGCTATGTTTTGTTGTGCTATTCAAATTATCAAATAAGTATCACAGCTGTTAATCAGCTGATCTTTGACAGGTGGTCGTGCCGTGGTGCAGTCCTGTGTCTTTGAGAGCGTTGTTCTGCCTCGCTCCGTTTACACCTGACCTAGAACTCTCTCAGGTCAATGGAACTCTCTTCCCTCGCAAAAGTTCGCTCACCCCAACTCTATCGTCTAGACTTCTCTCTCTGTGGAGGCATATCTCAAAAAGTAGGACACACTTTGAAACAAAACCTGATACAGGTGAGTGTAGTGTCAAACTTAGTGTAGACATCTAAATATATAAAAGGCAAAGCCCTCACTGACTTACTGACTCACTCACTCATCACTAATTCTCCCACTTCCCATTTACATAGGAGGCTGAAATTCGGTACACCGATTCTTTGGGCATTAAATAGGAAAACTAAGTAGTTTTTATTCTGATCGGGCTTTCGGGCTCCGCCCCAGTGGCTCTGGAGTTTCCCATGTTAACCTTATGATTTTTCATATTTAAAAGGAATTAATGAATCTTAACAGCTATTTCAATTAAACAAGTTGGTTCTGTTCTATGATGTTCAATAGCATTAAAGTTACAAGGTTTACCAACAGGGTGCAGCACTATTATTTTTTTAATTTATGACAACAGCTAATTTGCAACCAAAAGGTGAGTGAGCGTAGCGAACAAACTTCAACCTGGAGGCGAGTTAGCATAGCGAACGAGCTAATAGGTGATAAGTTGAATTGATGATAAGTTGAAAGATTGATTTGAGTGTGATTTTTGGGTTGAAATTTTGATCAGTTTTTGTTTAATAGGTTGTCAGATTTTGCACTGTTTTTGGTTGTAAATGAATAAAATTACCAACCACTAATTTATATTTCAGCTTAAATATTGTTTAGCAAACCTGTTGATAATGTTAGGTTTATGTTGTTACGAGGATTTTTTTTTATGACAGCTGATGTCTAACACAATCATTGTTTCCCAAGCTCAAATTAATAACAGTGAGAACAACCAGTCGATTAGTTATCCATTTGACTACTTAGTCTTTTAGTCTTTGTATTAGAACATTTGCATGTTGATCATTGGCAATAGATATGTACTTGCTAGAACTTAACCAGCAAAATCAACAGAAAGAAATTTAATTTTGCATTTGGCAACACTGCTCATACTTCTCCATTTACGAAAATTTTAATGTTTCTCTCTGGTATTCGCAGGGTACAAAACTTTTTTTCTAATTATTGTTTGTCCTCTGTTATATTAACCAATGTTTAAAGTGTGTTAAATTTTCCCTTTAATGGAAGATACCTATCTATTTGACAGCACATTTACCTTAGGGTACGTCAAAATCACTTAAAATGTCCTTCAGATTTTACATGTGGACTGTCTACTCGTACCATCCAAAGTCAATGGTTATATGCAACACAGCTGTTTTTGTTTGCAGGCTTTATAGGTAAAGGTTTGACAAGACAGCTGAACAGAGTCTGGAACTACGGAGTGAAAGGCATGATGGGAACTTTAGCTCTGGTCGTGATATTTCCAGCTATCTGCTTATTAGTCAGCTTACTTAGTTTGCTGATAGCAGTCACTGCATTCCTATGGTAAGTGTCGCCATTTTGTTACTGTCTGACATAAAGTTTGCCAGTGATTATAGCTACATTTTATATGCAAGGTCTAATGAAGGCATATTATATCGATCCATCTTGTTGGCCTTGGTACGGTGTGTGGCCCACAGGTTATGTTCTTGGAAGTCTCCTCTAGGTATTGGCTATGGCTATCTTCTGCTACATTAGAAGAACATTTGAAGTTGACCCCTGAGCTATGGCTTGCCTAAGAGAGACATTAATCAATCAGTTACCTAAAGCTAAAAATGCACAAATAGCAATTGAGAGCAGAGTAGAGAGAAAAGAATTTATTTATAAAAATAAATACCTCTGCCTTAAACAATAAGGTTGCCAATGACACAGAAAAATAGAATACATATAAAATATCCAAGGATTTTACAGCTATAAGACTGATTAATTTTGATGTTTGCCATATAGATGATTTCTCATTATGGTCAATGAACCTCTTAATGTTTCATGAATAATAATTTTCACAATCTTATTCTTCTCTAATTCTGCCTTAATTTAGACATTCGGATCACTTTTTACAAACTGAAACAAGTTATGATATTCACCATGTATGTAATTTCTCTCATAAACTTAATACAACCATTTCAATAGACTACACACACATTAGATAATGTTTTTATTTTCACAGCAGAACAAACTGATACAAGATACAAAAATGTAATAAAACCAATGCAACATAGACTAAAATAATTACATTTATCCCTACAATATATGGGACCCAAAATTAATAGTAAGCTGCCTTCAACAAGTATTCAATATTTTGGTTGATGTTGTTGTCACAATAGATTTTATTTTTATGGCAAATCACCTGTCAATCATTGATGTAATGTAAATAAATAATAAAATAATAATAAATAAATAAATAAATGGTATACAACAACTTCCTTGTAAACCTAGTGCCATTTTTTTTTCTACGCCAGTGGCATTTTACAAAAGGTCAGAAGTGAGAATAAATGTTTAGTGGATATGCAAAAAATGCAAACCCGTCCCTTCCGCACCAAAGTCAGAGACGCTAACCACTAGGCTAGCAACACACCCATCCTTTGTTTTTTAAACTTGACGCCGTTGCTCCCTGTTGCTTTTCACTGTGTATGTGTGACGTAGTCGCTCTCAATCACTACTTATGTGTTTTTACCTTAGGTGTAGAATGTAAACATAATGACTACAGTAGCTCCAGAGGGCTCCACTTTACACTGTTCACTTCTTCGTTTGCCAGAAATGTATAGCAACCTTGATAAAAATTACTGATGCGAATAAATATAAGAAGCAATAATCTCTTAGTGGTTTAAAATGTTTGGCCACTAAAATCTGAACGTTTGCAGGATGCCGGTGACTGTTTTGGTTCTACACCTGGTTATGGTGTTGCTATGGGATCTGGACTGTCCAGTAACTACAAGACCTAAATATCTTGTCATATTGCAGGTAAGAGTTATGTGCCTGAGTTTAAATCTAACTCTATCGAAGTTCAACTCGTGGAAAAGGAAGGTTTTACAAGTGGCTTTTGTGAAATAATTTTTAGTCAACTAGTTTTTTTTTTGTTCAAGAAAGGGTTTAGGCCAGGATTTTGAATTGTAGAATAAAGAGGATATGTTCAGCTTGCTTACCTTGAAGAATTATTGTTCTTTTGGAGGTAAAAGCACTTGACTAAGGGAAGGAATGGATATACAACTAACTTATTGAAAAGTTCCACAGTTCAGGTCTCACAAAAAATTACAAAATCAATTAATTAAATTACATTTTGCTCTTATAAAGGGCTTTAGCATTAGGTAGTCCATGGAAGATTTCAGTTAGGTACATTACATTCTTTGGGACCTCAGTTCTCATAAAAAAATTGGTATGGCATGACAATGATGATTGTTGTGTTGGTAGTGTGTATTTCAGTGATGATTGTCGTGTTGGCAGGCCCTGGTGTGGGACGTGGGCATCCTAGGGTTGCTGCAACCAATTGCAGCTCTCACAGTTGCATTGGTCATCTGCCCTATCATGTCCTGCACTGTAGCTACTGGTGAGTGGGATATCTACAATACATTCGAAATAGTATTGGAAATAGTTTTGTAACTTCAAAATTACTTTATATTGAATAGGATATAACTAAATACTTTAATACCTTTGCAGGTGGATTGTGTTCATTTTAATTGTGTTAGTAATAATTTCCGCAATTTTATTCATGATGTTAGCATTATATTCAGAGGTTAATCTTTATCTTGTTAGAATGTGGTGTTTTATGGAAAAATCACTTTGCTTAGTAATACGTGTATGTAAGGAACAGATGCAGGATTAGCTGATACTTTATGTAATTTATTCTTTATCGAGGCAAATTGAGGACCTCAAATCCTTCATACAATAAACCTCTAAAATAAAAATGATAACTTTCAATGAACAAAAATAAACCGACAAAGTTTTTAATGTAACAGATAATGAAATAAAATAAAATGTTTTTGTCTCCTTAACACTTAAAGTGCCGTTGACATGTTTGAACATGAAAATTGCATTTATTTCAATGTTAAGCAATGGCGGGAATTCCCGTCATCAGCACCCAACGTGTTAACATACAGTAACACACACATACATACTCTGCTGTACCCCCCAATGCATACCATCCCACCAAGCCTTCCATCCAGTTGAGGTAATATTCTTCGATTGCCACTGTCAATGGGAATACGTTTTTAAAGATCTAATGGTATTAGGTACGGAGTTCAGCTAAGAAAAGAACTTCAAGCAGTTAATAGGACACAAACAGTTCAAAACTAACGTCAACACTAAATATTAACTTAAACTAATCATGAACTTATTATTTCGCCTCTAAATGGTTTCTTTAGAAAGAGTTGTTCCTTTTTAGTGTATAGACACTAACATTTTTTAGTGTCTGTCTTTATTATTATTTTTAGTGTATTTTCTGAAGGTACATTTCTCTTTAGTTTATGCCCTCTTTAGTTGAGTATGTGTCCTGAGGTATAATTTTAATTTACATATATTGCCAAGCAATATGTATCCTGAAGTAAAGTTAACATTTTTGTTGTGTTGGCAGTATTTATCCTGAGGTATAATTTGTATTTGTTATGTTGGCAGTGTGTATCCTGAGGTACTGGTTGAGGTTAGCCTATGACTCGCTCATGTTTCACCTGCTCATCAAGAAGAGAGCCAGAGTCCCAGCTTGTGATGGTTTCCTCATCAAGAGAATTGCTGGTCCCGGTTTGACCTCTGATTATTACTATCAGGTAATTATTTATTTATGTAAGTGCAACTTGTTGCTTATGTGAAAACATATTTTTTCATGATTTTGGATGTCTTCAAAACCTAAGTGGAATAGCAAAGTAAGGTAATGTAACCTAAGTGACGTAAAAACACACAAAATGAAGAAGAAACTTTTTCAGACCCGAGAACAGACTCCCAAAAGTTAACATTTCATCGCCTGATTGACAGTAATGAAGACTTGGATAAATTTGACAATGTTGTGGACATTTTACATTACTGTTGTAAAAGTAGAAAGATGGAAGTGCTAGGAAAATTTGAAATATCCAAATCCATTAAAACCTAAGATCCTGCACTAAAGCACAAACTCCACTTCAAGTCTGATGATATTTTTAATACCATTCCTCTGCTGTGGCAACTCATTTGAATCACCTCAGACACTATGAAGTGTCGTCACCCTGACGTACCTTCGTTGACACGGTGCTATCCTTATACACTGTAACTAAGTCACTACGTCACCCTGACGTCTTACACTACGGGAATCGGGAAGTTAATAAGCACTACGGTTTAACACTGTAAAACTGCTAACGACCGAACGGGCCGGAGTTACTCAGGATGGAAGCTGGCTATAACTGAGGTGTAGAGGTGTCGGTTAACATGGACTCATGGGTTGGGGAAGTGGCGTGACCCGATCGTCCAATAGCATTCGTTTATTCAAATATTATTAACTGGTAGTGGGAAATACAAACGGTTACAGTTCAACGTACATATTTAAATATTGCCAACATAGCCTTGTAAATTATTAAATAGTAAAAACTGTTATATTACTTATATAAATATATTACATTCCTCCCCTTTAAATCTGACCATAAAATGTGACCAATTATTTTTCAATTTCAGTATCAGTAAACAGATAGAATATAAACGCTGACAAACAAATACATAAATAAAACAACCTAACAACACACAAACACAACAACCGTTATATGACAACAAAACAAACTAATTATAAATCTATTCTCTCGACTGGTTTCCTAGCTCTCATGGGATAACGTCTCTGTGGTGTAGTGGAGCTACGGTGTTGTACAGGTGTACGGTGTACAGCTGGTGGTGAGTTGCGATCAGCTGTTTGTGGAACCATAGAGCGCCGCGGAGTGGTGGGAGAGAGGGACGAGCGCGTACTATGTCCCGGAAGCTCGCGCGTCATAGGACTGACGTCACGCTCAGCTGGTGTACTCTGAACAGCTGGGCGCGCGATGACTGTAGTTGCTGTGGGCCTGTTGTCTGCATCTGATGTCAACACTGGGCCACTGTCGATAGCTATCAGCTGATCAATGTGTCTTTTCCACGTAACACCCGAACTTAACTTAACTATATACATAGTTGGACTTATCTGCCTAACCACACATCCTTCAATCCACTTATCCTTAGATCTATAATCTCTAATCAATACATTTTGGTTTTCAAACAGATATCGAGTCTTACTACCCCTAGCATACATCTTTTGAGCTTGTTGTTGTCTATGTACAGTCTCAGACAAATTGGGTCTGAGTAGGTCTAATCGGGTTCTCAATGGTCTGTTAAACATTAACATAGCAGGTGTCTCATTAGTGGTCATGTGCACAGAATTGCGATAGTCAAAAAGAATTCTACTTAAGGCTACAGAAGTATTAACATTTTCCCTAAATGCACATTTTAACTTTGACTTAGCATACTTAACCGAGTTCTCGGCCTGTCCGTTACTTTGAGCATGGTACGGAGCCGATGTTGTGTGCTTGATACCGTTATGTTTCAAGAATGAGGCAAACTCCATTGAACTGAATGGAGGACCGTTGTCACTATGGATTGACTCTGGCAAACCAAACCGTGCAAACAAATCACGAAGGTGATTTATAGTGTGATTGGCTGAAGTCGAACTAGTTTCGAAAACTTCCAGCCACTTTGAATGTGCGTCAACTACTATCAGATACAACTTTCCCTTGAATGGGCCTAAGTGATCTACATGTAACCTAGCCCATGGTCTACTCGGGTAATGCCAATGATGCAATTCGGCTTTACTAGGATTTGGTCTTTCAAGAAGACAGGACGAACAGCTGTTAGCAAGGTTCTCTATGTCTTTGTCTAGACTTGGATACCAAAAATAAGAACGCGCAACAGACTTCATTTTAGTTATGCCCAGATGAGACGCATGAAGTTCATTCAAAACATAACCTCTCAAACTACTAGGAACAATTACCTTGTACCCCCACATCAAAACACCTTGCTCGACAGCTAGTTCCTCCCTCCTCTGATAAAATGGGAACAATTCAAATTCCTCTTTAAGGACAAAATTTGGCCACCCAAACATGACATAGCCTAACACTCTCCGTAATAACGGGTCTTTTTGTGTTTCTACTCTAATTTGATCACATGTCACTGGTACTGAGCTCTCTTTAACAAAGTGTAAATAAGTACCTAACCACAACAATTCGGGTTCCTCGTCTGCTGGGGACACTTTAAGCGGTAACCTAGACAACGCATCGGCGCTATTGTTGTCTGACTTAACATATTTTATGTCAAAATCATACCCTGACAGGAACAGGGCGTATCTCTGTAATCTACTGGCTGCGAACACAGGCAAGCCTTTCTTAGGTCCAAAAATACTAATAAGGGGTTTGTGGTCACTCTTAAGGGTAAAATGCTTCCCGTACTGGTGGAATTTCTTAACACCATAAACTACAGCTAATGCCTCCTTATCAATTTGTGAATAGTTTTGCTCTGCTTGGTTCAATGTACTTGATGCAAAACTTACTGGCTTTTCAGCACCGTCTTTGTCTATTATACTGAGAATACAACCTAGACCATAGTTACTAGCATCTACTGTTAGTATCACTGGTGCTTGGGGGTCATAGTGTGCTAGCACAGGAGCCGTACACAATAGCTCTTTAACTTTCTTAAACGATTTCATACACTCGTCATCAAAACAAAATTCTACATCTTTCTTCAAAAGGTCATACAAAGGTCTCAAAACACCCGCAATATTAGGGACAAACTTAGAGTAATAGTTGACTAGACCCACAAATGATTTTACTTCTGTCACATTTCTCGGTACAGGGGCATCGACAATTGCTTTTATCTTGGCTTGCGAGGTGTGAAGCCCATGTTTGTCTATAGTAAACCCCAAAAACTCCAATTTTGATGCAAAAAATTTACACTTATCTTGTTTCACTGTGAAACCTACAGCCTTGAGGCGTGAACAAACTTCCCTTAGTCTATTTAAATGTACTTCGTCATTTGGTCCTGATACAATTATATCGTCCAAAAAACATTTCACACCTTGCAACCCTTGCAAAGCTTGTTCGATGACTCTTTGAAAGATACCTACTGCTGATGCTATGCCATAAGGCAATCTTTTGTACGCAAACAACCCCTTGTGTGTACTGATTGTACACAGCTTTTGTGATGACTCATCTAATCTTAACTGCATATAGGCAGTTAACTTATAGTAGGTAAGTTACCTACTAGGTAAGGAACCTAGTAGGTAGGTCGAACTAGGTTGGTGGCCATTGGTTAGTTATTTTGAAAGCAATAATCTATTTTATAACAAACAATTTGGATTCAGGAAAAATTTAAGCACAGGTTCTGCACTAACACAGTTTATAAATGAGGTTACCCAGGCTTTGGACGGGTCTCAGGCTACAGCTGGTGTTTTCTGTGACCTGTCCAAAGCTTTTGACTGTGTTGATCACTCAGTCCTTCAGCTCAAGCTGAGTGATTATGGTATTAGGGGAAGTTGTCACTCTCTATTGAGTTCTTACCTTTCTAATAGAAAACAAAGAACTGTAATAACACTGGATAAGATCAAGTACTATTCGCCATGGGAAAACCTATCGGCAGGTGTGCCCCAAGGTTCAATCTTAGGTCCTCTATTCTTTCTAATTTACATTAATGACCTCCCTAAAGCTATTGATCAGGAACTAATTCTTTTTGCAGATGATACAACAGCCTTGATAAAAAATAATAGTACTTCTGAAATGCTATCTTCTCTTGAAAATGTGGTTCATGACATGGAAGGTTGGTTCTTGAACAATGGATTAAAACTTAATCTTGCAAAAACGCAAACAATAAAATTTTCTGTCAGAAACAATGGTAATAAAATTGAATCCCTTAAATTGGCAACGTCTCATAAATTTCTAGGTGTTTACATTAGGGATGGACGAGATTGGATTTTTAGTTCGAGACGAGACGAGACGAGATTTTTTATTTCTCATAAAATTTCGAGACGAGATCGAGACGGGATTTCCCTTCTCATACACAACGGGAAATGCACGTTCAAAATTTTTACCTGATTTTGTAACATTGTTAGATGACTGTTTAAATACAAAAATAATGATAATAGGCAAGAATATTTACAATCTTTTATTAAAAAACATCAGCATAACATTTTTTTATTAATCACGCCTAACTTATTAAAAATGCCTACGATTAGGAAACATAGTGATATCAGTTAGGATAGAGTTCAACTTATCCTAAAATAAAATAAATCATAAAATAAAAGCAATATTAATTTTTATAAAATAGTTACTTGTTTTGACTTTTTATAGTAATAAAACATTTCTCACACTGCTTACACTTTACAAAACTTCTCAAATGTTATTAAAGTAATATTATTAAAATAATTAAAGTAATATTTACATTTAAAGAATTAATTAAATAAGAACGCCTTCACAAAGGAAACGCAACTACAACACGCTCCTGTATTGCGGGTATTGCATTGACTTTCTGCAGGCATTTTTAATTTTTTTTTTTTTTTTTATTCCCGTCTCGGTAAAAATCTCGGCCAAAAAGAAATCTCGTCTCGTGTAACGAGATTTAAAATTTCCCGAAAATTTCCCGAAATTTCGAGACTTGACCATCCCTAGTTTACATAGACGAATCACTTAAATGGGATGTACATCTGAATCAATTAAAAAGTAAACTTAGATCCATGTCAATTGTATTTCTGCACTTAAGGGACTGTGTTCCTAAAGAAACTCTGAAAATGGTT